GAGACACTCAGCCCATGGCGCACATCATCGAACTTTTCGTCACACAGGGAGCCGATGTTAATGAAAGTTTTATGGCGTTATATTCCTTAGTTGTTCCTCCGTAAACAGAAGCAAGCACTCCTTCACTGCCCCTGCCGTCTCCAGAATATGACGTCATCTGCCGTCACCGTCGAGCTCAACGAGGCTTACCGAAATCGCTCCGACCTGAAGCTGCTACACAATTTCTTCAATGATTAACTGTTGAATAGCTTCCCAGAGACATTAGCTGTGACTGTGCAAAACCGCTTTTGACCAGCGTTTCAGAGACGTCGTAATCGTCTATGGTACCTCGACGACCTCGTTGAGCTCGTACCGTGAACCATGTTTCCGTGGGAAAATCTTCTGATGTCGTCGGTGTAGAAGGCTGTTGTGTAGCTTTTGATAGATTATAACGTGCTCTTCAATATTCAGTTGGGGTCATTTGGTTTGGTTTCGCAACGCGTAAATAATTCCGTTTTGAATGTGGAGTGAAGTGTCTCTTTTTTTGGCCACCCCTGTATATATCGGTTTCGATATTTTTATCCTAAAAAATGCCAAGTACTGATGTACGTTATTCAGATTTTACATATTGAGGATGTGAAACACAAATTTATTGAATTTTTCTGCCACTGTTTGCTCATCGTTAGTCACGTGTTCTATCACGAACCGAAATTTGCAACTTTTCTGCAAGTAATATTTTGCCTGTTTTGCGTAGAGACCGTTCTATCTCTCCATTATTCTGATCCCAACATACTGAGGTGAAACTAACCGCGCTACGTTGGCACAACTTTGAGGAACTTCCAGCTCACACGCCTTGATACCATATTCCAATGCTTTGTACATGTCTCGATCAAGCGATCCCAGCGAAGTCCGGTCTAGTGGCTGAAACCGTCATCATTAAATGAGTCTAGAGGGGAGTACTTTTTCATTGATTAAATTTATTGGCCGACTCCATAAATCTAGATCTACAATATTACAAGAGCCAGGGTTATGAGAAAAAATTCCGCCCAGACTGGAACTCTTTCCATTACCAGAATGGAAGTCCCGCTTGAGCGAAGTGATTCGCCCATGACCCAGCATCCTTGCGATAGTTTTCGCATGGCGAACTTAGGTTGAAGTAGCCGCTAACAAGCTGAAACTCGGAAGGTGTGACGTCATGCACACACCCTTACATAGATTGACCGGTCTCAAAAAAACTTGAATTCGAGGTATTCAATCTTTAGTGCACACGAATTTAGTCATATTCCCTGTAAGCGACCGTCAAATTAGCTTTTTCATGAAGTTTTTATGTTCGTCAACTCCCTTCCCAAGGTGTAACCGGTACGACTTCCTGCTGTTGTTTGTTTAGTGAACTAGTACATAAATATATCAGGTTTGAAGGTTCCCAAGGGATCACGACTGCGCAGCGGCGTCACCCTATGAGAGCGCCAGATTTCATTCAGACAGAACTGGACGCGTCAGAATTATTTTAGTCGAACACAAAATTCTTCGAGTCATACATTTTCTGAGTGTTCGTTTATGTCCAGAAACCTATCTAAGTTACCTCACACCTCGGAAAGTACTTCGGCTACGTTCGTGGGAAACCTCGATCCCAAAGGGCTACACATTTTCATCTTTCAAAGGACATAACATCTTTCAAAAGTAATGTTTTGCAGAGCTGTAAGGCCTAGGAAAACTCCCCGTCGCACTTTTCCGTGCAAATGCTGTTTTCGGGTTTTCGTGACCACAACTTTTTTCTTTAATTCTTGTGGCGAACTTCTTATATAAGATAGTACATGACTGGAGCTTTCTAGAAAGTACCCAACCTTTCTCAAAGTTCATTTTCGAGAAGATCATACGTTGACACTTATCCCTTACGATAGTGTATGTGCAGCGTGTAGTACATGCGCCAGTGGAAGCAGCAGTCAGGGACCGGAGGAAGCGAAATGTTGCGTTTTTGTGGTCAAAAGTTGCAGCGTACAAGGCTTGCCATTCCTTTCTGAGCTCCGCCACGGCCTGTGCTCCGCCCCCAGCAGCAGCGCCCTTCGATTATCATTTTGATGAGGTATTCCACTTGAGTGCGTATCCTATAACTTTCCCATGGAATGCGTTATCAATCAAAGCATGGCCTTTGCTGGTATGATGGTGGCTATCGGTTTAACATGTGCAAACGACCTCTTATTGGTTGCTAGCTCGTCCATTATCGGAGGTCAACGGGCAAAGAAAGGGGTCCCATTTTGCGCGTTCTGACGGATTTCTTTGCTTTTTTCGCCACTGGGGCATTATTCAGCATCCCACTTCCACCATGAACCCAGTCCAATCTTATCGTAATCCCTCGCTTTAAATCTTTGAGCACTAACTTCGAGTTTTTAAGCTTGCACCAACCGCAACTTTCTTCCAAAAGCTTTTCACTTGTACTACTTGACGCAATGCAATAAACTCGTCCATACGTCCGCGGTCTCAGCCGCTGCCCGTCCGTGGGGGAAATTAATGCCCAACACGAGGTCCCATTCGCTTCCTTGACGAATTTCTCTGCTTTTAGTGCCACGCATACCATTGTGCAATCTCACGTCTCCTCCAAATCCCTCCAGAACCTATCGCAATCGTTACCTTCAACGTAGCATCTGCCTTTCAAAAAATGTGCTAGAATATTGGAAGTGTAGTTAGCTTCAACTTTGGTTGCTTGTGGACACTATTCTGATCAACTCTCACCAAGCAGATGCCCCGGTTTTTGCTGTGGATCTCAACGAATGGGATTGCAACCAGTGTGAGCTTGCACAGTAATATTGCAAACACCTATTGCTTACAAGCCTTTTCCATTCGCTGCTTTCAATACT